TGTGTGTGTGTGTGTGTGTGTGTGTGTGTGTGTGTGTGTGTGTGTGTTTGTCTTTGCTACATTGAGGGGACCACCACCAGATAGCACACTCACGGTGTGGGGACGAAAATTTTTGTGGGGACCAAAAACCTGGTCCCCACGAAGTTTGCATTAGATTCAATGAAAGGAAGGTCAGCATGATACCCTGTTCAATTTTTAAGGTAGTCCCTACAATTCACAAAAACCAACATAATGTGTATAGGTGTGTGTAAGATAGGTAACTCAGTATCGGCCCATAGTGGTAGGTTGTGGTATTGCAGGAATACACACTTACACAACACACAGCAATCTTACTCTGCTGTCTTTGTTGGGACACATAAAAAAGTATATCTGTGAATTTTTTTTACATGTCTTTTTAATGCCTTGAAATATTTTTATTATTTCCTCCTTGTTAATTTATGACGTTCACATATGTTTAGAACCACTGGCATGATTGCAGATTGGTTATTGACTTGTTTACTGTTATATTAATGACATTAATGGCCATAAAAATATTAAATTATTGGTCAAATGGGTAAATACTAAAATTAGTTTAATTAAATAGCTAACAATGATGCTTTTTACCTATTATCAGTCTGTGGTAATTCTTTGTTATTCTTGCAAATGTTATACTTGCAAAGGTGTAAAAAATAACTTATGGCATGGTAGTAGCATATTACTAGAACTGCTATAATGATCATATACAACATAATTTTGTTTATAAGTGCATGTATGTGGAACCTTTAAGGTAAAAGTCTTGTCAAAATACCATTGTCTCTTTAAAGTGTCATTGATAATTAATATATGAAAACTTTAATGTCTTAAATGATCTTAAATGGTTCTTTAAATGGTTGCCTCTGAGTTGTGGTCACAACAGGACCTAATTCTGATCAAAGGGAATTGAAAATATTCAGCTTTCCCAATTTAACTTTTTTCATTCATATCATCATTATAATTTGTTTTGTTTTTCTGATATTGTGTCATTTTAGTTTAACATTTATGCTCATATTGTTTAAATAAAGTCAGTAGTTTATCACCATAGCACTTTCATTTCAAGTAGTGCCTAAATGCCAAGCAATAATGCACCAAAAACTATATAAATACACATCCTCAAGCAAACTATGCATTTATTGTGTTTGCCTAACTATAACGGGCTAAATTTAGCAACTATACTAAAAATTACAAAGAGCAACCAAAGACAGTATAACGGCAGATGATGACTGTAAAATAACAAGTTTGTTATGGACCCTAGATATGAAAAATTAAATAAAACAACTTGTTTCAGACCAATGGATGAGAAGAAACTGAGAATTTTAATAGTAGTAATGAATGTTTTCTTTTAAAATGCTATCTGCTGTGTTTTCATTCAGATTAAGGTGCTTTCCAAAGTATTATTCAAACTACAGTTAATAGTTACCATTACGGTAATTACCTGACACTATTAACATGAGTTTTATAAGGGATATATATTTGGGCTGATTTTTTTGGAGTTGGGTGAGTTTTACATTGTAATTGGACTGGAAATTATCAGACCTAAAACACTGTTGAACGGCAACGTGTTTATTTGTGAGTGAGGCACATCTGGGATAGAGAGCGAGATGGAGCTATGACTTCATTGTTTAAAACAAGACACAGAAACATGAAATCTGCTTTCTGAAATGTATCCACGCTGGAACACAATTTCAAAAATGATGGTTTTTGGTCTCCTAAGATGCCAAATCTGTGTGGATACACAGCCTAAAAGACAAAAAAACTGTGTATAAACCTAAAATCATCTCTGTGTGGATGGAGCCTTAGACTGGTTAAAACTGTTGTTAAAACAGGGGTGGTGGGAGTCAGTGGCCTTGTGAATGGGAACACTGTTTTCAGTTTTGTTGTTCAAAGTCACAGCATTAATAGTCTATGACTTTTCTATCTCTGAGAATGTCTGAGATATAAAAGTGTTAGTCAAGAACAAGCAACGTCAAAATGTTACTTTATTTGTAGTTCATTTACTAAGTCCATTTGTTCAAATATATTTATAATAGTATTATCATTATACAGTAATAATATAATTTGGTATAAATGACTGAAGGTTAACCATTTACCCAGATTACAAAGAGATAAAACAGAAGTTTGCTGTTAGCTGTTTAAGGATGCTCTTTTATATTCTTAATGTCTAGACAGCAACTGTGTACTTTTCATATGCACTTCCATATTCAATAGCTGTATATTTATGGAAAAAAATACTGGTTAATATCTAAAATATGGCACACATATGCCTGTTTCTATGTTTTGACCTAAAAACAGACTAAATCGGTCTGGGATGGACCATGTACAATTCCATAATAACATGCCAATGGCTCATACTAGCCTAATTTATTCCAATCGGAAAATGTGTAATTAATCCTACAATGTAATTAAATGTTACATTCACTCATTATCAAAATTTCTTCAGTCACTTTAGAAGAAGCAAACTGTGGTACAGTGACAGACATGCTGAGCATCTCCTCATATGTTTTTCAAGATTGTAAATAAAATATCCTGATGCATGCTCAATAATCCAGGTAGAAAAATCAAAAAAAGTTAAATCTGGTCCTCTGGACATTCAAAAAAAAAAAAAAAACAAAGCAAAAAAATATAGAAACATTTCGTCACTCATCCAAGAGACTTCCTCAGTCTGAGGTGCTGTTTTCAGCTCAGTCTCTTAAATAGCACCTTCTCAGAGTGGATCAACCGGTTTGCTGCTGACAACCAAAACCAGCTGATCACATGTTCAAGAAGGACCATCAGCCTAACAATGGATCATTAGCACATTGATGGCTGTTTACTGTTCACAGAGGGCTGAGTGATACTAGCAATCACAGCATTGTAAGAGGGGGACAGTTGAACCCGGAGGCCTCCACCCTTGTTTAATGATGGATGATTTCTTTTCACAAAGATGGCCTCCTTTACTCCTCTCTCAAACCATCGTTCCTCTCTGTGTAGGATGTGAACATCTTCGTCCTTGAAAGAGTGACCACTGGCCTGGAGATGAGTGTAGACTGCAGAATCCTGGCCTGATGATGTTGATCTTCTGTGCTGGGCCATCCTTTTGGCCAGTGGCTGTTTTGTTTCCCCGATGTAAGACTGATCACAGCCCTCCTGACACTGAACAGCATACACAACATTACTCTGTTTGTGCTGGGGGACTGGATCTTTGGGATGAACCAGTCTTTGCCGTAATGTATTTTGGAGTTTAAAAGCCACTGGGACGTTATGTTTAGAAAATAAACGTCTCAGTTTCTCTGATACTCCCTCAACATATGGAATGACCACTGGTCTAGGTATGTGTTCCTCCTTTTCACCTGTTGGCTGACTGGAGTCCTGTTTGGGTTTCTTCTCTGCTTTCAGGAAGGCCCAGTTAGGATATCCACATTGCTCTAGAGCCTGTCTTGTGTGGGATTTCTCCTTCTGCCTGGCTCCTGAGCTAGTAGGGACGCTGTCTGCTCTGTGATACAGAGTCCTGATGACTCCTAACTTGTACTCCAAAGGGTGATGGGAGTCAAACTGCAAATACTGGTCTGTGTGGGTGGGTTTGTGGCACACCTCAGTTTGCAAATGTCCTCTATCAGAGACTGAGACGGTGAGACCTCACAGTCCAAGAAAGCCAACTTGCCATTTTTTTCCATCTTCTCGTGTGAACTTGATGTATTTATCCACAGAGTTGATGTGGTCAGTAAAATGTTGGACTTCCTGAGATTTAATTTTAACCCAGGTGTTGTCAACTTACCTGAACCAATGACTCGGTGGTGTCCCTGAAAAGGACGTCAAGGCTCTCTTTTCTACCTCCTCCATGTACAGGTTGGCAACAATAGGAGAAACTGGAGACCCCATAGCACACCCATGTTTCTGCCTATAATATTGCTCCCCATATGTGAAGTAGGTTGACTGCAGGCACAGTTTCAAGAGTTGACACAGTTGTTCTGTGAAAAGCGTGGTCCTGCTGCTCAGAAAGATGTCTGATTTTAATCTTAAGCTGACCACCTCTACTGCATCATCAACAGGAATGCACGTAAAGAGTGATGTAACATCAAAAGAGACCATTGTTTCATCAGTCTCCATGATGACATCCCTCACCTTACTTTGTGGATAAGGTACGGTAAGATATGGACCATTACTCATAATTAAAGACTAGGCCATGCCCCTCCTGTACCTTGCGTGCCAATAGCGAGGGCATAAAATTGTTC